CTGGCTGCCTTTTTAACCTCTGCATCCCACTCAAAGATTAAATGTGTATCAAGAAGTTGAAGTAAATCAATGTCATTGTCGTTTTGTGGTTCTAACCACTTGATTCTGCATGTGATATCTCCTCTCTCTCTCTCTATCTCTTACTCCCTCACTCTCTCTCTCTCTCTCCCTCTAACTCTCTCTCTCTTTCTCTCTCTTACTATCTCTCTCTCTCTCTGTGTTTCTCTCCCTCCCTCTTACTCTCTCTCTCTCCCCTCCCTCTTACTCTCTCTCTCCCCTCCCTCTTACTCTCTCTCTCCCCCTCTATTTCGCTCCCTCCATCTTTTAACTCTCTCGATTTCCCTCTCTCTACTTCTCTCTCTCTCTCTCTCTCTCTCTCCCTCCCTCTCTCTCTCTCTCCCCCTCTTACTTTCCCCTCTCCCCCTTATTCATAAGTTTGTATCTTGAAAGAGTTCCTGCTGCTATTGTAGTTGATGCTGTTATTGTTTCCTTGTTTGTTTGTTTATTTTTATGGAGGGGGACAAAATCCTTAATTTGCCTACCATGTACATTATGCCTATGCACGTATTTCATAATTCAGTTTGCAGCACGATGCCAGCAGATTGATAGCAATTGTACTTTTAATTATTTCCTGTCACAAGAAAAATACAGATGCATTTGACCTCCTTAAACCGCTTTTATACAACCATAAAATTTCTTTGAAATCATTTACGAGAATGACCTCCATAATCATGATAATTGAAAAAGTTCGCCAGATCCTATTTCTCTTTGCTTTTCAGCATGATGACGTCAACGTCGCGGAATGTCAGTTTGGGGATCTCCCTTGAGTAAATACCCGGGTCATAACAGTTTGATCGTGTCTGGTCATGGGTCCATGGTCTGGTGAAGCTTTATAACTGTGGCCAAAGTTTCAACTGGTCTGGTTCTTTCGTGCCTATACCTTCTTTGCCACGTTGTCCTCTTTGTCTTCAAAACCTTCATTTCTTCGCGATTTTTTTGGTCTGCTCTATTTGGAAAAGGTTGCAAGACAACTACTGCTACAGTTTCCGTGTTTTTGCGTCCTTTCTTTTTCTGTCCTTCACCTTGTAATTATTTTCTTTCTTCTGATATCAATCCCTTTTAAATATTATCGTTTTCTCTTTATTATGACTTGATGTTGTTGTTATTGTTATCGTTGTTGTTCTTCTTGATCTTTTATTAAATTGTTTCATTTGACTCATTGGTTCTCCATTCATTGTATAGATAATGATATTTGCTGTATGTGTTGAATACTGACTTGCCCATTAAACATGTTATGAAGGTTCAAATTACAGCAATAATCAAAGTTGACAAAAACACAAATGTTTGCAATTTTTCAAGGGAAATGAAAGAAGCAAATGCTGAAAGAGGAAAAGTGACTATTTCCTTCAAAAATGTTACTTACTCTTGTGTAAAAAGCAAGAAAATAAAGATGTTTATTATCTGTTTAATGGCAGAAAACAGAAATATAAAGCGTATGATTTGTTAAAGTTAGATACCGGGATATAGCAATTTGTCGAGTTTACAATCATTTTCAATACATACTATATCGCTTCTTTAGTTTGTTTGTTTAATTTTTGTATATATACAAGTGTATATATTTTGTTTTTGGTAATTCCATTTTGGCTCCACCCGGTATACAATCACCTTTTAAAGGTAAAGACCAGTTTTGGAAACGCCCCCCCCCCCCTCAAAAAATGAAATAAAAGTTCTTATCACCAATCATGTGAAAGAAAATGTTTTGACTAATACGTAATGATACAAATTTTGCCGGGAAACCGCCTATACTAATTGATATATTTGGTAAATTATTATATCTATCTGGACCGGATAGATATCGCGCACGTGTCACGTAGTCCCATATACATCTTTCTGTGTATGTGCTTGTAACTTTACCAAGACTGGGCCAAATTTCTTATCATTTTGAAGATTCCAGAACCTTGCAGTACACACCAATACTTATATGCTATAGATGATCAACCTTTTCTGATCGATTCCACAACGTATCTTTCAAAATGCAATCGCATGACCAGAAGTCCAGAACTGGTCTTTACCTTTAAGATGAGTACCCCATATGTTGACAGATGACGCTATATTCGTCTAAAATCTAATTACATGTTTGAACGTAATTCCGGCTGCAGCGGCACGAGTTGAAAGTAAGACCGAAGTTATATCACTTCCCCCAATATGAAATCACCGACTGACAACATGAATTAGAATGAGGAACTGAGGATGCACGTTACAAAAAGTGATGAAGAATCTATCTTCTTTATATTTCTTATCTCCAAGATTATGAAGATACTTGAGGGATATTAATAAGAGTCCAAAGGTTAGAGGGTTATACGTTTGTAGCGGTGTAAATTACAGTTCAAACAACAAAATATAGCTTTCAAACGCATTTCCTCTCCAAAAACTATTGGGTTACAGAACTGGGAACGTGAGGAGTGTCTGTCTTTTGACCAGTGGGAAAAAAAAACACTTCGATGTCTTAGCCTATTTTATTTTCCCTTCATCTTGTTGTTTTCTTTTATAGAAAACCTGGATTGCATTTGGAGACATACATTTAAAATGCTCTGTAAGTTTGACTAAATTACAACTACGATGAAATATTATGATATTGAGAATCTCAATATGAGAAAATGTATTAATGGCAAACATTTAATATCAAGTTCCTCTGAAAAGACTTCAGACCGTCGGTCCCCTGCTTGATTGATTACATGCATACGATATGTTTTCTTAGCAGTCATGTTAAACCGTCATTATCATCATCATTATCATCTTCATGTTCAATACTGCCTGTAAACTGGTGTCGATTAATCATTGAGGTAATCTGCATGGTAAAAATTCATATTCTACTATGATTATGCTTAAAAAACAGTCATGGGGCTCAGTGGCAGGCCCGCGCGTGCATGTTTGATTAAAAAAAAGTAATAAAATGGCATTATGGTAGAATGTTAACTACTCTATTTGTTTGTATATTGCCTGAATAACGATTTGACAACATTGTCCACTTCAATTCCAATTTTATTTCTGTTTCTTACAAAACATTACGAATCGATTATAATTTTTTACAAAAATAAAGGAATACATATTGGAAATACAATTATTTCCATATTTTCAATTGATTTCATGATACCTAGTCATTATTGTTTGTTTGCTTAAATGTCAACATTTTGTAACTGTGATTGCCACTACCTTCAAATAGTTTGAATAACTATTGATCGTTAACATTATTACAAACGTTCGTTTAATCACATCTCAACCCACAAATGCCAATGACGAATTGTTGTTATGATAAAATGTGAAGCCTGTCTGCCCTCGGAGATTTCTCAGAACCAGTAAAAATGATTTAAAGGCATCGTTTAACAATGTAAAATCTGAGATACACGACCCTACGTGGTATCAGTGTCTGTGATATTGTAATAATTATATTGAAGCCCTACAAAAATTGCGCTTAAAAATGATCATGAAGTGCCTCAAAATGTAAAAATCTTTAAGTGACCGGTTTTACCATACTCATTTCCCCCTATAGACTGTAGTGTAAGGAAAACCGTTTGGAAAACGCAAAATGAAATTTCGACTTTCAATCATAAATATCTTGATAATCAGACAGGCGATCGGCTTGTAAAATTCATGGGATTCCTGACTGACCTAAAGGTTTATAATTATCGTTGCAGCATGAGCTAAATCCACAATTTTGTTTCAAAATCTGAGAAAAAGTAACCCAATCCCTTTAAAAAGATCAGCGCTACTCAATTTGAAATAAAAAGAGAAGAAAGAAAAAATCCAGGGAAAGAAAGAAGAAAAAAATGGAAAGATGAAACATGGAATGCATCAATCATCTCCATCTGATTAAGAAAATGGCGCGAACTAATTTAAGAACTCTTAGCTCAAGGGAACTCATTTGAGCTTTGACTTTGTTAGCTCTCTCTCTGTCTATCTTTCTCTCTCGGTATGTCTGTCTCTCTCCCCTCTCTCTCTCTCTCTCTCTCTCTCTCTCTCTCTCTCTCTCTTGAGGGTAAGAATCACTTCTGACCTGGTGTTGAACTGCTATTAAAACAGAGAGACGTCATCGGGGGACAGCTTCTACTGCTTTTCCCCTGAAGGAATTTAAGGAAAGATGGTTCATTCAGAAGAAAGAGAGACCTATAAAATCAAGCGGTGGTGAAGACACTGAGAGAGGGATAGAGAGAGAAAGAGAGAGAGAGAGAGAGAGGGGGGTAGAGAGAGAGAGAGAGATGGAGAGAGAGAGAGGGAGAGAGAGAGATAGAGAGATAGACAGAGAGAGAGACAGAGACAGAGACAGGCATACAGAAAGATGGAGAGAGAGAGAGAGAGAGAGAGAGAGAGAGAGAAGAAAAGAAGTGGGTTACGTTGAAGTAAAAGCTTGCTCAACATGGTGGCTTGTGTTTTTATGAATTAGTATTCCTATAAAATGATGATTGAAGAAATTAGTAACATTTCCATTCCACATGTTCAGGGATTAATTGAAAAGGAACATTTCATTTTTCAGAAAAAGAATAGAGAAATATTTCAAAAATAATAATATTGCCTAAAATTCTCTTTATTTTCTTTAAGGTATGTCATGTATGTTCTAATCGTTGAGTCATATAGAGTCATCTAAAATACCAATAATCAAAACGAATTGATGTTTAGCATGGTCGATTCCCATTTTACCAACTCACCTTTGGAGACAGGCTCCTCCTACATCGCACACATACTTCATGAATTCCTAAAAGTGTTATATCGTTAGTATATTTATTGTTTGTAAATAATAATGAACACATAATAGCGGCGACACCCCCAGGATGACTCATCAACCAATCACCGTGCGAGAACAAAAGCACGTAGCTAGCTATTCTTCTCAGCGCATGCGCTTTTGGGGGAGTCCTCACCGCAAAAATAGGTGAAGTCATCATACGCTAAAAGAAACTACGAACGAGTAGAGTGCGGAAATCACCGGCCTTGGTACGGTATATGCAGCTATCGTCTGTCGCCACAATCATACGGACTTTTAACTGTTGCGCTAGTCGCACGCACATTTGCTCGCTGACCAGAGTGATATTGAACTCAAAAGTTCAGTGGATATTAATAATAAATATACCTCGTCACTGAGTTGGGGTTGCTAAACGGATAACTCTCTTCAATAACGGATTTTAGGAGATTGTAAGGGATAGCTACCAAACTTCAAGGAATAACTCGTCAAATGAATATTCACGCACGTTTTCCATCCTACTAAATGTACTTTGGTTTCTGCTGGGTCGTTCTACTTCCCTGCGAAAAAGTTACGGATGTTTTTCAGCGGATGAAGTACTCTCTGTAATCACTTTCACATTGCCTCGTTGATTAGGCCTACCATATTGGTCCTGGGCTAATAATTCACCTGGAGTTAATTCATGGATATTGCCAAAACGTGAAGAGCCGTCAAGGATATTAAAGCAGGCTCACAAAAGTGTACTAAGGTAAGATATTCAAGTCTGTTATTACTAACAAACCACATTTCTAATTAAATTTAAAAACGGTAAACAATAAACCCGGAACTGTTACGTATAATACTCTGTCAGTCTATACTCATTCATCATAGTATTGGAATTTCACTTTTTAGGAGGCATAATTATTAGGGAATTATCATTTCCCTTTCGATTCAATCCTGCAAAATAAAAATAAAGTCCCCTCCAAAGTAGTGGTTTTGAGAATGGAATCCACTGATTAGCGTGGTTTCCACTCCTCATCTGTTCATTCCTTATCGTATAACCTTCAGTATCTATAATTAAATTTTGATTTGCATTTTTGATATTTTCTTTTCATTTTTTAAATCTAGTTCTTTTTCCTCCTCGTTCTTGAATCTCTTAACTGAGCATGGCTGAAGTTGAGTAATACATTTAGGTTAAGTCTAGTAATTCGCCTTTCTGATCACGTGCATTATTGCATTGGTATATGTAAGGTCAACTTAAACAAGGACGCATGTGAAGACAAAAATGAATGCATGCAATGGCTATTCTACATAACTACTCGCCTATCATATTCAATGTAATGTTTGACAATCATGATTAGTCAACTGTTACACCATTTCCGGGTTAGCTCCCTGCGATACATAGTTTTAATTGGCCTCGTATACCAGATGGGACTCCGATGGTATACAGCTAATGATGGAATATGATGGGAATACCAATCCAATATGAAGTAAATTGTAGCACTAGTCCATAATCATTTATTCAGTAATTCTTAGCGATAATTGTTTACAAAAACTTAACAGTAGAACAGCTTGATTACTGCAATCACATTAATAATAGGCCTGTGATGTTCATGACCATATTGTGTAATTAAAGCTATGATTTGAGGAGGAAAGTAACCCAGTCTTTAGTATTGTATGAGCCACGTATTGCAATATGCACATCTTCTGAAAATTCGATTAGTTATCGAATATAAACAAACATGAACTTATGAAGCATCCATTATTTTTGTAATTCTAATGTTTACATTTTTTATTGAAAATTTGACGTGCAATTAGAAAAAGAAATAAATAAAAAGTGGAATGGCACCCATAATTAAATGGGTGATGGGAACCCTTCTATATTTTAAATAATATACATGACTTGTACAAACATGTTTATGATATTGAACATTAAAGCAAACACTCTACATGCCCGAGCCACTCAAGTTGTGTAAGCCACTCGTGTATCTATTATCTATTTAAACACTATAGTCATGATCATTGGTCCTGAAACAAACACCATTAACGGGGAGACTCACGTTGCGTGACATCACAATGCAATAGCTGAACCCAGCAGACATTTTTCATCTATCAATCATGATGCATCCATTGTAATGAACGATGATCTTGAGCATCATTTCACGGATCAGATTTAGTCGGCTAGGATTAGTCCGCTCGGTCCAAGGCGAGACGTATTGGATTACACCATTGACTTGTCAGAGATGGATAGATGGTTTTTCCAACGGATATTCAGTTTCGGGAAGGGATCCATGATTTTGTGACATTCCCTGTTGAATTATTCGCATTGGGTGTATGAGTCAGAGGATAGCAAGGGTAACACGGTGAGCTGGAAGTCGACGAATCATATTTTTAAGAAGTCAGATAGGGAGGAGAATTAAACCCCGGTAGTTTCACATTCAGGGATTAGTGAATTGAGCTACGTGTGTATAATTTATTGAGACACGGTCTCTTGAATATCCCTCACCCATGTCTCTCTCTCTCTCTCTCTCTCTCTCTCTCTCTTTCTCTCTCTTTCATTCTGTCCGTCCCCATCGATGTTATTTGTTAACTCCTCCTCCTCCCTTTCTCTCGGTTTTACCTTTTCTCTATTTCTCCCTCTCCCCCACCCCCTTCTCTCTCTCCCTCCCTCTCTCTCTCTCTCTCTCTCTCTCTCTCTCTCTCTCTCTCTCTCTCTCTCTCTCTCTCTCTCTCTCTCTTCTTCTTTTCTCACTGTCCGCCCCATCAAAAGTGTTCCCATCATGTCTCCCCCCTCTCTCTCTGTTTCATCTTTCTCCCCTCTCTTCCCAACATAATTTATCTACAAAATGTCTTCTCACCCTCTTCACCCATCTCACCCCTCCCTCTCTCTCCCCAGTCCCCCTCCCTCTTTCTCTCCCACTCCATCACCCCTCACTCTTTTAATACTTGCCGCCTTTTCTCAGGGACACTATGGTATGTCAGTAGGTGTGTCTGGGGAGGGAGGGGGGGGGAGCTCCCATAATTTTGAAATAATATCATATACCAGCTCTGTCCTGTCCTGGGTACGCCATTGACCCTCCCCCTCTTTCTCTCTCTCTATTCCACCCTCTCTCTCTCTCTCATTCCCTTCCTCTTCACCCATCCACTCCCCTCTCCCATTTCTCATCTCTCTCTCTCTCTCTCTCTCTCTATTTTCCTCTCTCCCTTTAATGTTCACCTTCTGTCTCGCAGAATCAAATTCCTTTCCCACAATACACCACACATTGTAACAAATCTGATTACCTTTTTTTTCTCTAAGCAGATAATGCCTGAACATATCTGCCATTATACCTGTATATGTTTGCTTTGTTCAGATATCAGGGTCTATAGGCTATTGTATTTCTTTACAATACACGCGAATCTGTGATCAAATAAAGTTATGACATTTTAGAGAATGACGACATCTGGAAAAGAAAACATAATCACAAATCTGATTACCTTTTTGAGAGCAGATAAATCCTGAAATCTGTTATTGTACATGTACTGCATTATGTTTGCATTGTACAGAACATCAGATATCAAGGTTCCTAGACCATTGTACTGATTCATGCGAGTCTGTGATTAAATAAAACATGATTATGTCACCAGGGGCGGATCCAGCAGGCGGCAGGGGTGGGGCCCAATTCTTGAGAAAATATTTAGCGGCGAAACAGCCGGTCAATAATTCGCTCAGTTGGGGGGGGGGGGGGGGGATAATGAGCACTAATTTTCTTTTTTTTTTTGGCCCTCGAAAATTTGAAAATTCACCCCCCCCCCCCTTGAGCGCCAGGGGAGGGGGGGGGGATCATCTCCCAGAAAAAAATAACGTGTTTTTACTTTTTACATGTCCCCCCCCCCTGGATCCGCCACTGATGTGTACAGTTTTAGGACGTGACATCCTGAGAAAATAAATCATGAAGTGTTAAGCCATTCATATAATCTGGATACGGACACCAGAATCTGCAAGATCTTACTTGAAATATCCCCTCTGTGAACAACCGCTAGAATAAGTTGTTTCCCATTGCCCCTTAGGTTTTTATGATTGTATTCATTCATTTATTTCTTTATTTCTTTATTTTGAATCCTTATATTTATGTATGTATTTATTTATTCATTTCCTTTTTTTATTTATTTGTAGATATTTTATTTATTTCCATTTTTTCAACGTTTAATGTATCTTGCTGGGTATACAGTTTCCTTTTTTTCATTGGCTTGTTGAGCATACAAAGCTAAGGGCTTGGGTTCGATGCTTCGAGCTTGGCACTAATATCCTTTTGCCATCTAAATTCGCAATTGTTGACCAAGGTGTAGATTGATTATTCCTTGAATGCAATGTGTGCTGGTTGCTGGAGCAAAATATAAGTGATTAAAAAGTCCCTTGTTAGCACTTGATTACCACAATGCACTTTAAATGAACAGGATATTCCTATTACGACGTCAATGGGATTTTAATATTCAATGGGTTATTGTAATGTCTATTGTATTTTAACAACTACCCAGACAAGGCGGTACGTGTCTACCAGCATGAACAATAATGATATGTCTCTTAGAATAAATTAAAACACATGCTTCCGTGTGCAGGTATTATGCATCCATTCCTGATGATGTAATAATAATTATCATCAGAGGCGTAACCGGGGGGGGGGGGGCAAGGGGGACATACCAACCTCCATCTTACCCTGCCCTACCCCTACCTGCGTACACCTACCCTCAAAGTATAGCCATGGACCTCCAGGGTATAGCCCAGGTTTGCGGAGGGACTCTATGGTTTGGATGTTACGCACCCCCCCCCCCCCCTCCCCTTCCCACCCCGCCCCTTTACAATACGGTATTGTCAATACGCCTGGCTATACGTCAATGATCATCATTGTCTTTTGTCTGGTTTGACATTTACAGCCGAGACGGGAAACGAACTTCACATCGCATACAGCAGACGACAGGCTTAACAGACGACAGACTGCGCAGACGGTAGACGGGAGGAAAGACGCGGGGAAGACTGGGCGAATAATTAGGCGGGAAATGAGACATCGACATACCATCTCACATTTAGACAGGTAATATAACACGAGCAGGCGATCTATTCCTATATAACGTACAACCATACCAAATCATAGTCTGTGCTCCAAGCTCTCATATCTGGCGTTGAATCCTGCCAGCATGATACGCAATGCTGAGAAACATACAAAAACATAAACCAATCCTCAAAACGGCGTCAGAAACGGCGCAAAGCGAAGATAAAAAATGGATGACAATGAACAGCAAAGCAACTAATTGTCTCAAATAATATCAACATTATAATAATTAGTCCTGTTTAAAGCAATGCTATTGTCTTGCTCAAGATTATGTTTAGTTAACAACATTAAACCAACTTTGAACAGAATCAAATTGGTTAATGAAATGACGTAATAACTCAGGAGAGTATTTGGAAGCCGGTGCAACCCTGGAAAAACTTATTTGTGGTTCCACAAACTGTTCTTTGACAGTCGCGGTTTACAAAAATGTCCACCTTCATTTAAACTGATCATACTAACTGAGTGCAATGTTCATAAACCGATGCGTGATCGTATAATATGATTATAATTCATTAATGACTGGACTACACAGTTGAACTTGAAGCTCTTCCTAGTAGCGAGATGACTGTTTCGCTCTACCATGAAACACAAAGATCTTTGAACCATACTCATGTAGGCCTGCGTTTTACTTCTACCATTTCCAATTTTACAATAATATTTTACAGCAGACTGCAAGCTGTTGCATATTATAATGGAAACAAAACTTGCTAGTATTATCTGTAGACAGTTGAACACACAGTTGAACAAAAATATTTTTACCAACACTCTAAGAAATAAGGGTGCAATTCTGCTACAATAGCAGCACGTACCCTCTGTCAAATACGCGTAGGTGGATGCAGGTCCGCACCCCGATTATATTCTAATTTCTCAGAGTGAAAAAAGGTGCGAATAATATCCCCTTTCACTCAACAATAATGCAAGTTACCTTTTTATATATTGTGTACCGAACATGTTGAGTAGTGGATGTTACCAAACTCTGTGAAGAGGGTGTATATTGTATATTTGGTTGCTAATAAACTATAGACATGCCTGTATAGAAAGAAAACTAGGATTTGTATATTCTTATTTGTACCGGTATCTTTGTTTGTTAATGAACTATATAGACATGAATTGAATGTGAATGATAGTTTTCATATCTGATGGACAATTACAAAACTGAACATTGAACAGTCTTTTTATAGTAATTATTCAGACAAACATGAACTATTCAGTTCTTGAAAGCTTGACGTCACTATCAAGTACAAGTCAGATACGAAAGAAAAAGTCTCTTAATGGACATTTTGATAACAAATTTGCATTGTTTACAGAAACATGAAGTAGACTGCACGTTTTCTAAATTTGTCTGGTTTCGATACACTTATATAAATCTCCATTTCACGAAAATTATATATTTGAAGATATAGTCATTATAATTATCAAGCCAGCACTTTCTTGGTGTACATAGATTTTGTAGGCCCGTATAATACTGATAATAATAATCTGGATGTATATGGCGCTTAATACCGACTATTAATCGCTTTAAAGATATTATTACCCCGGTCACCGGATTCATTCATTTTAATGTGCACCATCTCCACTTCCTGGGAGTATTCCTACATCATGGCATATATAATATATAGCATAGACGATATATCAATGCATACAGTGCATGGTATGCAGTGAAGGGAAGCAGAGATGGTATTATAGCTAAATAGCATTCCTCTCTCTTTACTGTGAGGCAATGAACTTCAGCTTACTCCCTTCCCTTCTTATTACCAACCTCCCTGATATTAAACGATGTGCACTCTCTATTGCGTGTCACGTCGTTACCCAAGGACCCGTGTCCGCATTGCATCGTGTGACGTCAATCGAGTTTGTGTCTGTCTGTCTGTGTACCCCTCCCCCGGCCTTCTCCACTCTCTCCCCCTTTCTCCCCCTCTCTCTCTCTCTCTCTCTCTCTCTCTCTCCCTCTCTATTTCCCTCTTTCTCTCTGTATTTCTTTCTCTCTCTTTATCTCTCTCTCTCTGTTTACTTCTATCTACTTGCTTCGTAGATATATATATATATATATATATATATATATATATATATATATATATATATATATATATATATATATCGTTCTCTCTCTCCCTCCCGTTCTCTCTTTCTTTCTCCCTTATCCCCTCTCTCTCTCTCTCTATCCCTCCCTTCCCCATCGCCATTCATCTAGTTAGTTCTTGTCTCTCCTTTTTTCTGGACAGTAATCCATCAAACCTCCTCCTGCTCTGTGTTGATACTTCACTTCTTCCATCGATACTTTAAATATCAGTACAGTTTTCTTGATGCAATTTATCTTGACATACTTTGTCTCTTTTTTTGTTGGTCGAACACCCCTGTATAGTCAAACAACCCCCTCCCTCTTAAACTCAGGTTTTCCATTCTCTTCTCTCTACCCATCTATTTCCACATTCTCTTTCGCTTTTCCCTCAAACAAGCCGCAAAGTTATTTCCCTGTCAAATACCCCCGCCCCTTTTTCCCAAACCCAATGTTCCTTTACGTTATGACTGGCTACGCCCCTATGACACGCCCTAACAAGCTAATCAGCTCGTTAACAGAGGGAGATTGACAGTTCAAACTGTTTATCAACTGAGGGAACATCCCTCTCAACATTTCTGCACATCAGTCTCTTTATAAGTACAATGTCACTGGCTTCCCTGCTCTCATACCAATATCCTCTTACCTGGCGACTCGTAATCAATCCCTACTCAACTCAGATCTATGTCTTTGGACTGCCGGGAATTTCATAAAGAAAAATATTGAATGGTTACTAAGCACTCAAGGCGGTTGGTATAATTCCATTGGAAACGTGCCCATGGTAATGACTTCTGGCATTTAGCCAGTGATGTTTTCATAACCTTGTTACAACAATCAAACCCTCGGGATTTACTGACTTCGTAATTTATCCTCATTTTGCAATAAATGAAAACGTATTATACCAATCTCGTCTGCTATTGTAATTTGTATCTCGGCATTTAGTCAAAAGTAATGAACGAAATTCGCTGGGTCATAACCAGAGCCCTAACTCTACAACACTAAGGAGTGGCGCATAAAGTGTCGACCTTACAATGTGTTCCCTCTCCCCAACCCGTTTAGTCTGAACCTTTTGTGTCGGTTACGTGACAGTTGTATAAAAGTGATATCGAACATCAGATAAGGATTATCCTTTTACAATTTGTTATTTGGTTTACTCGCTTATACTAACACCAAATTGCTATGAATCAATTTCTTGCTCCGTTGATCACTCAAAGATGTTTGTCACCCCGTAAAGTCTAATAACCCATATCTTTTTGTCTGTCTCGTTTACTTTTCACAGCCTCGCCTGTGAGCTATTTCTACCATTGTGACGTCAGAGCCTACCATCAAGGTCATCATACTTTTGTGACATCGCCAAACAGACGACATCCTGTCAAGCAAGACTAGGTCAGCCAAATTATTACAATCTGGGCACACTTTGGATCGCCTGACCAACCAGAAAGTTACCAGAACCGCGACATCAAAACGCAATCATCAAGAAAATCCAGGGCATAGATCAAATTTGATCATACGGTTGGTGTTTTCATCGTGACCCCGGAAACTTGGCGTTGAAAGGTTCGTTAGACAATTTCTGGTCTTTTTCACTGGAATCTACAGTCTCTGTTCCTTTGTAGGAAGGTGTAAATTATCATCGTTATACATTGCTATAGTGATTTATGACCTGCATAAGACTTCAAGAGCTCGTCATTAAGGAAGATCACTTTCGCCTCTCGAGAAATCCCCCTTTCAATGACCAAGCTGATGACCAACTGAAAATAGAAAGTTCTCCGCATTGAACAAGGGAGTTACCAAGTAATTAAGTACTTGTGATTGGTGATTTTTGGATCGGTTTTGAAATCATACAGCGATATAAGTCTCCTTGACTACTGAGTTAAGAGCATTGTTAATATCTTGTGATTTGAAAGTAGTATTACAGTAACTATGTCGACACAGTTGGCTAACCGCTTTAGTGGGCATGTGGCGCCACCAACGGTGACCCGAGAAGACATCCGACAGATTGAACTGTTCTTCTGCAGTCTCAAAAGCAAAGTTTATGTTTGCCCCGCCCTCTGCAACCTGTACTTCGCTTCCCTGGAAGAGATGGCAAATCTAGGCGGCTGGGAATTACAGACTACTGGCTTCCCAACTCTGATCTTTGACACAGGCGCGCTTAGACGTACACCCAGGCTGCAACTGTGCATCGCCGAGAAAGGCACTGGTTTCGTGAAATGGAAAGAGGAGCTCGGATTGAAAACCGCGTACAAAGCGCCTGGTGAGAAATTCCATACAATCACACTGTCTACAGATTCGCGAAGGATCGCCGGATTGAGTTTTGACGATCAAAACGCGGCTTCGGACCTTTTACGAACGGCCGAGGCTTGGTTGCAAGAAAAGTGTGCCATGGATCGCGAAACGGCGGCTAATTGCGATAAGAAGAAGAAAAAGAAGAAGGCAAAATCAGTCAAGGTCATCTTACCGAGGAAAGAAACAATATCACTTCCGTGTCAATTCGAACACATTACCAGTATCGATTCAAAGAATATGAATCGTACACTCAGCTCTGCGCAATCAATGGACGGAAACGACTTAGAGCAAGCCTACGACCAACATGCGCGTATAAGCACGTACGGTAAAACGAAACAGACGTCATGTGGCTATGCGGAAAGTACGTCTACAGAAGATTCAGGACTCGATGAAATATTTACAGAAAACATTTGAAATAACAAATGATCTTCTTCAGAAAACGACACTTATAAAAGACGATCGAACGTTGTACGTGGTGTAAATAGTATAATATTTCAAACAATATGATATAAGGCTTGTTGTCAAGGCTACAGGCATTTATTTTTGTTTCGATCTCGTCACTTTATCGTGTGATGATGGTAGATTTGGAATGGCGTCCTTAAGATGTAATGGACGACATTAATGGTGTGTACGTGGGTAATAATGTTCCATCATGAACGATCTGAGATCTATGTAGAATCGACTTATTGTTATATGCTACATGAATCATCTCAATGTTTTGTCCCTTTAAAATAGTTAACTTGCATTAGCTAAGAGCCCATGGGAACCTGATAATATGAGAGTCGTCATGAAATAAATTAACCATAATCATGATGATAGTATCGAAGTGATGATTAACAATAACGCATCAACAATGACATGCATTGTCTCTATGAAATTATGAGAGGCGCTAACTTCATACACACATTCATTATTCCACACAATGACAATAATGATTGTCATTTGTGATTCATTATGATTGTATCACATGCATATACTTCAAGAGGTCTATTATGGCTAAGGTTTTTATGGACCTCATTGCTTTTGTTTTGATATTAAAATAAAGTATCCTATGAAATGGATAGCAGTTTACGTAAACGTAACAGAGTGTTTTTTAACCTGTACTAATGTGTCCTTTCAAAGTGGGTGAAGTACCAGATACTGTTTAAATAATGTATGTGGCACCGGATATGTTATGTATACATAGGATAGATACTATGGTGTCAAGGAAGCGACTGAGTACAATGATTACAAACCAGAACAAGAAGATGTTTAGTGTATCATCATGCGGCTTATATGCCAAGTCAAACAGATCAATTCATCTTAAGCATCTTAAGTATATCAACATGGTGGGGGAAATAACAGATTAATAATCGAGCCAATACGTGCAACGATTAACCCATTGTCTACTGGGACCGGGTGGTTAATGTATTAAACCTATGGAGAATATGAGAATTCAGTAGGCGATCGGTTAATGGTTGGGTCTGATGAAAGGGGGGGGGTGGTACCAGTTTAATCAATCTGCGGAGTTGGATGGATGGGTGAAGGGGTCGTGCGATCTTCCCCTTCACCTTATGTTGCCCTTCTCTATTTCATGTTGGCGAACTTGATACACAGTTTCAAGTATTAAAAACAAATTAGCACCAACACAATAATCGAGCAGCTAGGGGGCACTATTTCGCTGTATTGAGAGTGAAGTACCAACGTCTATGTGAGAGAGGGGGTAAGGGTGTGATGAATGGTTAGGGAGTGGTAATTTCCTTACCCTTCCCGTCGTTGTGAACTCCACAGGAAACCAACAATGGCGCCAAAACATGGGCAAACAATATAAACATTAGTTCAAGTCGAAGCCGGAGGGGGTTTGGGTGTGGTCCATAGGGCGTGGTCAGGCACATATTACACCACCTGCCAAGAATGGCCTAAATTGAATTATCACCTTTATTGTGTTTATCCTATGTCGGAAAGTTCTGACTATATTGTCATATACGACTGCTCAAAGAATTAGCATGTTATGATGATGCTAATACGAATAAGAATCACTGGATTTGAATAGCTCCATTTTCCAGATGATACGGGACTTTCCCTTAGTCTGAGGACAAGAATTGTAGAGGTATATTTTCAGATGTTTTTGAACAAGTCAATATGCTCATTGTAAGTACTATTTCTCAGCAATGCAGGGAGTTCATTTGAGCAATGTTAGATCAGACCAACTATCAATACGAATGATATCTCCAATTTTAACCATGTTCCTGCATAGTTTTTGTTGGCAAGACATTAATCTACATTTGCCACTCTCTACCCACGTGAAGTAAATGGGTAACTGGTAGAAGTTGAATGCTTTAAGCGCCTGTTGGCAGGTGGACTAAAGCCAGGGTAAAAATACTACTGTGTAGGTGACTTGAGCATACCCTGGGATGGGTAGGTGCGCAGTAGAAATCTAAATATTTAAAAAAAAAAATCATTATTCATTGAAAATTGGTAACATATTGGTTATTGATTATGAGTTGACCAATCTGGTCTTCGTTGGATTTGCTCACAATTAGCAGCCAGGTAAAATAACCACCACTACAACTGTTTAACGGTGCCTCTCGATTAGGTACATGTGACATACTCGGAAGTCGGTAGCCTCATAATTTCTAGAGTTCATCCTGTTCTTCCAATCCGAAACTCAGTAGTAATATGATTATGTATGTCAAGTGTACTCAAAATGATTACCAGTTGATAATTCATTATCATTCAGGACGTGATATAGTTTCGAAAATGGGAATAGTAATGATTAATATGTTCACAAATTATTGGATAAGTGAAAGTTTATTGAGTTCTTGTGATGAAAATTCATTGAGAGAAGTGGCTAATGACAATCTTGAAGTAGTTATTAAATACTAATAAAGTAATAAATCGTGTGGTTGTGTATTTCATGAGACAGGGCCAAGTTTTTGAAACACTGAACGAAAAGCGCGCGCAGACAACTGATTGTTAACCTAACCTTGTGGTATAGGGTGTAATACAGTAGTTGGGCTATTTCCCCTAAATTTACCATTCCTGTTTACTCACTCATCAGGTATATGCATTTTCTATTACATTTTGTTTTAACAACTTTCATTAATTATTTTTTTATGAGTGGAGTATCAGCGATACTTTCCATGGAAGAAAAACATAATTATTTAGACATATTACATGTACACGGTGTAGCCCGAAAACTTGTTTCCTATAATTCAGCTTTCTGTTATTTTGAGTATGTATTAATAGATTGAATGGGATTTTCCCCACCCCCCCCCCCCCCCCCCAACACACGCCCCTCCCAGAACTCACGACGACCTTTATCACTCCATGATGCTTCAAAGAAAATGGTAACCTAAATATTCGCAATATATCGAGGTCGCTAACGTGCAATTGTCCTTGTATAATCCAATATGATTATTATGACCGAATATCAGTGTCATTACGTGTATCCGCAAGGGAAATATAAAATCCATATTGATATGCAAATTTCCTACTTGTAATTCCGGATTAAATCATGCACGTAATACATCCTGTATCGTGAACATGATGAAGAAAATTAAGTAAATTTATCAAAATTATTGCAACAGAAGACGTGCCAATGTTCCTTAGCCATGTACATGTACATTGAGACCAGGTATATAGCAGGCCTATACTGTAATACCCATGTAGTGTTCTGTAGTGCTATTATATCTCGTACTTTTAGTTGTTTTAAACAAATAATTTAAGATATAAGTTAATATTAAACTATGTATGTTTCGAGTGAAGATTATTTAGTATTATATCACTCATGTCTTTTAACCCGATACAATGGGATGTCACGTCGCCAACCCCTTTGACTAAATGATCGCTGAAAACCTTATTAGTATACACTGGTATATTTATTTTCTCTGTGTGAAGGACTACGCCAAGAGCTCAAAATCATAGTTTTTTTCTTCAAAAATGCTCCCCCCCCCCCCCCCCCCCCCATGGCATAGCTCGCTTTGTTCGAGTTTGTACTAACATAAAGAATTACAATAAGTATGATTTATTTCACTACGCCCATAGTACTGTGGTATCTGTCTTGCAGAGATTTAAAGACTCTCACGCCCCACCCCTTATATTAAATAATAATAATAATATTTAAGTTTTATATAGCGCTTATTACAAATGTCTCTAAGCGCTTTACAATATACTATTACCTCGGTAATCTCTGCCAAATATTGTTTGCAGGTTATAGACCTTTGTCCTGATAAAATGTTAATAATTCACACTGTCCTGATCATTCGCATGACACATAAATTGGTTATTTATAATTACATACGATCTTCAGTCTGTGCTATGTTTACACGACAAAGACTCAATCTCAAGGATGTATGGTAGCGTAGAGGTAATAACATTCATCGAATTAAAGTCGCGTCACCGACGCTTTGCACACTGCACCTCATCCCTCATCATCGTTAGTCAAAT